TCTAATTTAGTAATATGCTAAAATTCTAATTATTTTTTAATTTTTTTTCCGTTTTTGTTTGTGATCTACTTTAACTTCTTTCCATTTGCAAAATTTGAAGATATTAGTGGCAATTAAATGATTTATTAGAAATAATTTGTGTGGGTAACATGTTTCTTCCTTACTACCTAATCAAATCATAATCGCTATAATTTTGCTATTTATTTTAAGAAACAAATGTTTTTGTTCTTTATATTCATTAACTTAGTTCGAAATTTCTTTGGATGGCACAATTAGGAAAAGTCTGTCTACCCTATAATCTTTGTTCTGTAAAAAGTTCTTTTTTCTGTTTCACGGAAAAAACTTTTGATTTTTAAATGACACCCTCGGTACTTTTTTGCTTTATTCGATAGAAAATGACACTCTACATAGAATGACATAATATCATATATCAACTTTTGACATATTTGTTTAAAAAATCGTATTTTAAATTTCAATCTAGAGTAAGCCACTTTTTATGAACACCCGGTATATTAAAATACCAAAAATACATTAAAAATAATATTATTAATTTGCAACTATTGAAATAAAATTTAAGGCTTTTGAAACGTTTTAGAATCGCCCTGAGATTTTCTTAAGCACACGCATATTATTAATTAATAGATTTCTGGGTATTTCCCCACTAGGGACTGTGAGAAAATCTACAAAATAAAATAGTTATTAAAAAAAAGAAAAATAGATTATTTTCCTGTTTATATTATATTTATATTATTATTATTCTTTTTCTGATATTTATTATTTATATTTATATTTTGATATAAAATCTAAAGGTATAGATATTATTTTTAATTAATTAGATTTTTATTTATGTAAAAAAAGTTAATTTATGTATATACATACATATTTAAAACCCGTAATTAGTTCCTTAAATTTTATATAAACCTCTTTTTTAGTTTCCTAATTTTTAAAAAATAGAAAAAATCTAGTGCTGAACACGTTTGCAAACTTCTCTTAAAAACAAAGTATATATATTTTCCAACTTAATAAATAGAAATTATAGATATGTATCACCTAAATGTTTTGCCATATTTTTCCTAACTTAATGTACAAAAAATATGTAGTTTGGGTTGACTTGAAATCGATTAATTAAGAACTGATAGGCTTATCCGAATTTAAAATCCAACGTTCGCATATACCTGGATTTTTATATGGAAACCTAAACATTTTTAAATTAGGATGTCCCTCCTTGATAGTCTGCAATCGTAATATTGACATACATTGTCCGACATATTTTAAAACACAAAAACTTAAATCAAAATATAATAATTCAAAATAATAAAGCAAAATCCACAATCGAAAATATAAAAAAATGAGCACACCTCGAAGCCTTCAAAACGAGGTCCGGGGGAATACGGAAATACGGAAGGCTTTGATGATCGCCGTCGGGCCGCCGCTTGTACCGGTAGCATTTGGCGTACGATTTGGCAACATAGACAAGCAAGGAATCGCTTTTTAACGCTGCGACGCCTCGATGGATCCCGGCTCAAAAAGCCGGGCTCCTTTTTGGTTCCAAAAATTTTACACGGGATGGGTTTTCTATTGTGTTAACTATAATATTCTTTGCTGGTAGTGAGAGCAGGTTGATCCGCATTATGACAAACACAGCGTAGAATTAAATTTCTATATTAGCAGTTAAGTGGCAAGAATCCTTATATAATTTTATTATATACCTCTACTGCAAGAAATTTGTTTTCTATATTTTATAATTTGGCTTGTCTGAAAAAAAGCCTTTTACCATCCTTTTACTATCGATAGTTGCGCCTCGGTGGTACGAAAGTACTACCATTGCACGCAGGCCGCTATCTCCCGTTCGTGACTTAATATCTAACCGATACTTTCCGACAAGTAGGAATTAACTATCTCTGCGCTGTGGTTGTCATTTTGTGGATCTCCCAAGCTCGCCTGATGATGGAGTAGGGCTCCGAAACCGGTAGTGAGAGCAAGTTGATCCGCATTATGACAAACACAGCGTAGAATTAAATTTCTATATTAGCAGTTAAGTGGCAAGAATCCTTATATAATTGTATTATATACCTCTACTGCAAGAAATTTGTTTTCTATATTTTATAATTAATTCCACTTCAAATTATGAGCAGTGTATACCATGTTTATAGGACCACTTCATAAGTTGAGCACTTAAATACGTAGTCTATCTGTCAAACACGTCAAAAGTGAGAGAAAGAAAATTTGGTCCCACCACATCAAAAGAGCCGACGGTTTCTGTCGCTACTCACTTGTTGTAACGTTTAAATACTTTAATAGATCCAAAAATACTTGTTAAATATGTAACACATATCTCTAATATCTATTTTTCCATAGCAACTGTTAAAATGGCCTTATATCTATCAAAAATAGTAGATAAAATAGTACTTTAACCGCAAGGGTAGATTAAATGACACTTTAACAGCGAGGATAGGTTAAAAACTTTATTTCTTCTCGCAGGCTTTTTAATTGCTTCCATTTTTGAAAATTTTTGTATTCCTTTTCATAAGTTATTCGGGATTTAAATGGAAGTAGTTTGGATATGGCGTTTGTCGCCTCAGCCTGAATATCTGTTGGTAATTTACTTACGAAAGAGAATTAAAAAATATTCACCATAGACTAATGTCACGTACTAGAGATAGATTGGTCACTGATATAAAACAAATAAGTCCGTCATTATCTGGTGATCCGGAAGAAACTAATGGAGAGTTTTGGCATAACATAATTTTAGCGTTCCGTTATTTACTAATGTTAACTAAAACGGTAACGTTATTCAAGCGCAAAATTATTCCTTGTAAAATGTAAAATAATAAATATAAACTTGTTTACTATATTTTATGTATTAAATTAAGTTATGATATATTTGTGACAAATTGTTAGTATCTTGTCTAAAGTTAATTGAATTTTTTTCTTTTTTAATATGGAGCATCTCTTTTACAGTTAATTTTTTATAATTTTTGTCCTTAGTCAAAATTTTTGTGTTTTTAAAATTAAATTCGTGATTCTCCTCAGTCTCATGTACATGTAAGGCTGTTGTTGCATTTTTCGTATATTTGTGTCCTTTTATTCTGTTTTCCAGATACTGTGTCGTCATACCTATATATTTTTTATTACAATTTATACATGGAATCGAATAAATTAAATTAGACTGTTTTTGTGTGGGTGTTTTAGATTTTAGTCGAGTAAAAAATGATTTTGTTAAATTTTGCGCTTTATGGCTTATTTTGACATTATGTTTTTTAAATAAGTCACTTAACCTTTCTGATAATCCGTTTATATATGGTAAAGCTATGTATTTTTGCTGAACACTTATATTATCTTTATTTATTAGTTTTGTGCTATTATAATGTTTAAAAGTACGTTGTTTTATGCATTTTTTTATGAAATTTTCTGGGTAGTTATTATTTAATAGTGTGTTTGATTTTTTCTAAAATTTTAGGGCGGTACTTAGGTGTTGTAAGAAATAAGCCTCTGTCTATCAAGTTTATCACCACATTTCTTTTTTGGCTGATTGAGTGATGCAAATAATAATTTAGGTACCGCCCCGACCATGTTTCTTTTGTGTACCACATTGTTTCTATCTTTTTTGTTTCAATATTTTTAATTAGAGTTAAGTCAAGAAAATTAATTTTATTATTAGACTCTATTTCAAGTGTAAACTGTATTTTTTTATGAAAATTATTAAAAGCTTGTAATATATCATTGATGTTATTATTTGGTACAGCTAGCAGACAATCATCCACATATCTTTTGAAAAACAGAATAGGTATATTTAAATTTTTAATTACATTTTCTTCAAGATACTCCATAACCATTTGAGCTATTGTTAACGCTATCGGTGAACCCATTGCACAACCATCAATCTGTTTATAAAATTTATCCTTAAACTGAAAATAGTTATTATCTAATATCAAAAATATAGCTTCTATAACATCTTTTTTTGTTAATTTTGTGAATTTTTTTAATTCATCCCATTTTTTATTAATTATAGTTTTTATTAAGCTATTAGGAATATTTGTGTATAGGTATACAACGTCAAGTGAAATTAATTTAAAATTTTCTGGTATTTCTATTGTATTAATAAAGTTTTTGAATTGGAACGAGTCTTTAATATAGTAATCGTTATTTTTGGTGATATTAGAAAGAATATTTGACATATATTTTGATAAGTTATAGAAGGGTGATTGTACATATGATATTATTGGTCATTCCAGGTTTATGCAATTTTGGCAGTCCGTATATTTGTGGCGGAACTGCGTTATGTATATCAAGATATTTCGCTTGTTTTTTTGATATTATATTTTTTTCCAAGAATTTTTTTATTAACTTATTATTTTTATTTTGATAAGATTTTAACATTTATGAGTTCATATATTTTTTTCTCGTAGTCATTGGTATTCATAATTACGGTTTTATTACTTTTATCCGGTTTTAATACAGTAATCTGAGGATTTGAGCGAATAAATTTTTTTGTAACTTTTAGTTTTTTCTTAATTTTTATTTGTAATTTATTATCTGATAACTGTTTATGTCTGGCATTAGTTTTATAATTTGTAATCAAATTCACAGCCTTAGTTCGAATAATATTGTTAACTTCATTTGAGTCACTAGGTAAATTTGATTCGATACATGCTATGTATTCTGATATTGGTAACTCATTTTCTGTACTTATATTAATTGCAAATTTTTCGCCCAAAGCTAGTACTTCTGATATATTTTTAGGTATTATTGTGTCAGAAATATTCTCCAACCAGTTTTGTGTATTAATTTCAACTAGAGGTGAGCCCGTTGATAAATGTGCAAACTTGTTTTTATTTTTTTCTTTTATTTTTTTAAAAAGATTTTCATATTTTTTATTTTCAAATTCAAGAAATTTATCTATTGTATCACTTGGCAACGTAGAATTTATGTCAGTTAAACAATCATTTAATTTCCTATCTAGTTTTTTTATACTATTTATTGTATATAAATAAATGTACCTGTATAATGCCTCCAGCATAAATGTTAGCTGCCCAAATACCAAATTTCTTTTTAGATGTTTTTATATCTGCAGTATTTAGTTCTTTGTTTGATAAATCCTCGGAAGACGGTGGTAAAAAATCCAGACTATTGTCAATGTTAGAAGAAATTGAAGATCTCGATTTTTTCTTTGGTACTGTATTATTTTTCTCTTTTAAAGCTAATTTTCTCTTGGGTGTTCCTAATGTGACACTGTCAGTAGATTTTCTTGAATAATTTTGGGTCACTCTTTTTCCCTTAGGTATATACTCAATAATCTTGATTTCATAATCAGGATTATTTTTAATGTTCTCTAAAAATTAATATAACCTTACAAATTTAAAACAGAAAAGTAATTCATACCTATAATATTGTCCATTTCAGTAAAAGCTTCTTTATATTCAGCTTTTTTATAAGTCCCATTATTACGATATGAGTCTTTGTGAAGTTTATATGGTTTAATACATTTTTGTGCAATCCATGCGTAATTATGTGATCCACAAAAGTATATCCATTCACTATTTCTAGGTCTTAGAGGGGCATATTTATTGGGAGTCATCACTATTGCTGGCCACGGGGGATAACCAGACATTTTTGCAAATACAAAATCATTGTCACTAAATATCTTAGGAGTATCCATTAATGCCCAATAATTATGCGTAAGCAAACTAGTTATAATAAAAAGCGACTACTAATATAAACTAAAATACTATTGATTATTGATGTTTATGAAAATTTCTGTTTAGATAGATATTCTTGCTTTATTTTTTCCCTCTCTTCCACTGGAGGTAATGATGGTTTAATTCCTTGAGATCTCCTCAATGCGGATATTTTGCCCTAAAAATTATAAAAATGTGAAAATAAATATTTCCATACACAATCCATAGATAAGGATGTAAGAAAATAAAACAATCTGATACACAAAAACAAAGACAAAAACTAACAATAAGGTTAGGTAATTTGAGAATACTTTTCTGTAATAGATATTAAAATAATATCGTATTTTAAGTATTTGTCTTTGATAAAGCTATGATGTATTTTTACTCTTCGCTTAAACGATAATTCAAAGAAAATGTTACGAGAATTTACCTGTGTGAAGTAAAGCGTCCTTTCGGATAATGTTTTAAGAATAAGCTTATGTTCAGTCAAGCCTGCGATTAGAACAAAAATATTACTTACCCAAAACTTTTTGCACGTTTTATAGTTTTCTATTTCTAAAAAGCACTTTTCCTTGTCGTAATTGTGCAAATCGTAACAACGGTAAGTTAATTCTTGTTCCTTTAAACAAGGATTAAGTAATTCAGCGTTATTCTTTTTCATGTCCCCAACTAAAAGAAATAGAAATAAACACCACAGAACACACTAAAGAAGAACCCAGGTGGATGACAGCATGACACTTCTTATGGGAGAACTGGCAATGGTTCAAAACTTGACTACAAGCGATTTTCTAGGAATCTTCCTTACCGATAAATTATTGACAATGACAAGAGTTCATAAAACCTTGACGCTCTGCCTTGACGTTCTTTCAGTATGTGGTGACAATGTTGAAAGCGACATTCCTACTCTATCCTTGGTGATACTCGAATATCGAGACACGTCCATAGAGTAATAACAAAACACACGTCTGTCAACGGTCAACGATGTCACACACACACTCTCGCAACACACTCTCAACAGCTACTACGAATAAGTTTACTCAGCCTTCTTTAAACTGTGTATTTGATTAAAGTCTTAAAGTATTTTAATAAAGTGTGTACTAATAAGTTTACATCATATTAATTGATAACCCAAACCGTTAGTACCGCAATTGGTGACCCCGGAATTACCTCGAACACGCAACAATCGATCAAATTCTCGTCATGAACGACATGAACGAAGCGAACCCAACAAATACACCAGAGCGAGCTCAACACGTGGATCGAGTGGCTATCAAACCACCACCGTTTTGGAAGGCCGATCCGAAACTGTGGTTTGTTCAACTGGAAGCACAATTTGCTCTATCAAGTATTACAGCAGACCTAACAAAATACAACCATGTGCTTAGTGTTGTGGACACGAGTATTTTAAGTCAAATATCAGAACTACTCCTAAACCCACCTGCGGACAATAAGTACAACGCTATCAAAGACAGATTAATCTCAATATATTCAGATTCTCAGGAGAAGAAATTAAAAACTCTCTTGTCAGACATGAATCTCGGCGACAAAAAACCTTCGCAGTTATTAAATGAGATGACACGTTTAGGAGGTGCATCAGTTTCATGTGAATTACTGAAAACCCTGTGGATGCAACATTTACCTGCACAGATGCAATCAGTATTAGCCACCAGTAATGACAATCTAGACAATTTGGCGAAAATGGCAGACAAAATCGCAGAGATTGAACAACCCCGCAACTTTACAAAGAAGTTCAAGAGTTGAAACTACAGCATCCTCGTCGTGAGCAATCTCCACATCGGAAAAGGTCGAAAACACCTCTTCGTCAGCCCCAGGAGGAGGATGGTGAAGTCTGTTGGTACCATCTTCATTTCAAGGACCGTGCAAGATCATGCAGAGCGCCTTGCAAGAAGGGCCCCATCCAGGAAAACGACACTTCACGACGTTAAGGGCGACGAACGCCGTGAACCCTACCAGTCGCCTTACCAACCCTCCTGCTACAGTCAACTCTACCTTCTCTAACAACCATCGGTTAGTTATTAAGGACCCTAAAACAGGTATATCATTTTTAATAGATTCAGGTTCTGATGTTTCCATTTTACCTAAAATGACACGTAATTATGATCAACATAATAAAACTTGTTTATATGCCGCTAATAACACCCTGATTCCCACGTTTGGTACAAAGAGTGTTACTGTCAGCTTGGGTTTAAAACGGAACTTCACCTGGCATTTCGTAATAGCTCAAACTGATACTGCCATTTTAGGAGCAGATTTTCTACATCATTTTCGACTATTAATAGGCCTTCATGGGAAGAAAATTATTGATACTAGCACTAACTTATCTTATCCTGGTAAACTTAAACTTTCCTCATCTGACTCTGTATCAACAATTGACAAAAATTGTAAATATTTTAAGCTACTCGAAGAATATTCCGCCATTACAAAACTTTCGAAAACAGACTCTTATATTCCTCACCAAACTACACACATCATCCCTACAGATGGTCCACCAGTAGTGTCCAAAGCTCGTCGTCTCCCTGCTGATAAGCTTACCATTGCCAAACAAGAATTCCAAACTCTCTTAGACCAGGGAATTTGCCGTCCTTCAAACAGTAGCTGGGCAAGTCCACTGCATCTTGTTAAGAAAAAAATCAGGTTCCTGGCGACCTCTTGGCGATTACCGTCGCTTAAATGCCATTACACGACCTGATAATTACCCCTGTGCCTAACCTACAAGATTTCAATCACATTTTACATGGTAAAACAATTTTTAGCACCCTAGACCTTGTTAGAGCATATCATCAAATACCTGTCGATCCCGAATCTATTCCGAAAACAGCCATAATCACACCCTTTGGTTTGTTCGAATTTACTCGTATGCAATTTGGTCTACGCAACGCAGCTCAATCCTTTCAACGTTTCATTCACGAAGTCTTACGCAATCTAGACTTCTGTTTTTCCTATATTGACGACATCCTTATAGCATCCTCTAGTCCAGAGCAGCATGAAGTTCATCTTCGACAAATTTTTCAACGCCTACAACAATATGGTCTCACGATCAATCTCGAAAAATGTGTCTTTGGCGAGAGTTGCATAAAATTTTTAGGTTACGAAATATCTTCGAATGGTACTAGACCACTTCCAGATCGAGTAACAACCATTTTAGACTACCCTCTACCTAAATTCGCTTGTGATTTGAGACGATATCTTGGAATGTTGAACTTCTACCGCCGTTTTACCCCTCATGCAGCTGATCATCAAACTATCCTTCACCAGATGCACAAGAATTGCAAAAAGTCTGATAAAACGCCATTATCATGGACTTCTGAAGCTTTATCTGCATTCGAAAAATCTAAAAATGATTTAGCCAATGCAGCCTTGCTTGTTCATCCTCATTCTTCTTTCCCACTCTCTCTTACAGTGGACGCATCTAACAGCGCTCTAGGAGCTGTTGTTGAACAATACGAAAACGGAATTTGGAAACCCCTTAGTTTTTTTTCACATAAATTCACCCCTAGCGAAACGAAATACAGCATATACGACCGTGAACTTCTTGGAATTTATTCGGCTGTAAAATATTTCAAATATTTGTTAGAAGGCCGTAATTTCCAAATATTCACCGACCACAAACCACTCACATACGCTTTTCGACAAAAATCCGACAAAGCTTCACCACGCCAAACACGTCATCTTGATTATATTTCACAGTTTTCCACTGATATAATCCACATCAGTGGTAAAATAATATTGTCGCAGATGCTCTTTCACGGATTAATTCTATTAATTCTCCAGATGTAATCGATTACGATGAATTTCAGAGACATCAAAAAGATGATCCTGAACTTCAACAAATTCTTCAAAACCCCAACTCAACTTCCCTATCGCTTAAAGAGTGTACCTTTGCAGACACTTCTACAATGCTCTTTTGTGATTGTAGTCAATCACACATTAGGCCATTTGTACCTTTAAGCTTCAGACAGCTTATTTTCAAAAAATTACATAACCTTTCTCATCCAGGCATACGAGCTACTAATAAATTGATATCTTCACGCTTCGTTTGGCCTTCGATGAATAAAGACATCAACGTATGGACACGAGCGTGTATAACATGCCAACAGTTCAAAATACATAGACATACCCTTACACCATATCAACAATTTCAAATATCCGAAGAACGATTTCAGATTGTAAATATTGACATTATTGGTCCCTTGCCCTCTTCTAATGGTTATTCTTATTGCCTTACTTGTATTGACCGATTTTCTTGTTGGACCGAAGCAATCCCTTTGAGCAATATAACTGCTGGAAAGATTGAAATGGAAAGATTGAACGATGGCATCGAACTTTAAAAGCCGCTATAATGGCGCATTCTTCTCCACAATGGACAGAAGTTTTACCCACGGTACTGTTAGGATTACGTGCTACTCTTCGCTCAGACGTGGAAGTTTCCCCTGCTGAACTAGTTTACGGTTCTTCCATACGTTTACCAGGCGAATTTTTTCAAACTTCTGACACTCATACCGATCCTTCGACATTCCTTACGCTATTAAAAAACAAAATGGAAATGTTAAGACCTGTACCTGATAGTAACCACTCTAGTTCAAAACCTTTTATATCACCCGAATTGGAGAAATGTACTCATGTATTTTTACGAAAAGATTCTGTGAGAAAACCTCTACAACCTCCTTATGATGGACCTTATCGTGTAATATCTCGACATGAGAAGTATTTCAACATTGCAATCAATGGTAAAAACGTTAACATTTCTAAAGATAGACTCAAACCTGCATATTTACTTGCACCTGACAATATTTCTCATGATCACTCTTACTGTAAAGAACTGTCTTCGGTTACAGAAACTAGCAAATGTATAACATTCGAAAAAAAACAAGTTCGTTTTTATTTATAGAATAATCTTTGTATTAGTATTACATTAGTTTAAGTTAAATACATACATTTACATTTACATACAAATGTTTAGTCATAATGAATACCCTTTTATTGTATTAATGTATTATCATGTTTTGTAATATCCTATACTATTTTCTACCAACTCCGTTTTTTAGGGGGGAGTATTGTGGTGACAATTTTGAAAGCGACATTCCTACTCTATCCTTATTGATACTCGAATATCGAGACACGTCCATAGAATAATAAAAACACGTCTGTCAACGGTAGAGATGGGCGGTTATTGGTAAAAAACCGGTTATAGGTTAACCGGAATTATCTTTGAAAAATAATAACTTGACAAAATTAACCGACACAAATTAACCGGTTATTCAAATAACCTAACCTAACAAAAGGAAATATTTAGTTTTCCTATAGGTTTACTTACCTCTACACTCCATAGGTCTACTTCAAATTTAGATAATAAACTTAGTTAAATCGCATGATTAAATAGAGATTGTAGCAATGTAAGTATGTATATGTACAAAATGAATTTAAATAAAAATGCTAACCTCACTTTTTTGAGTAGACATGGATATGATATTAAAACTAGTAATTACTTAACGTTTAAATAAACCACACAACTCACAAGTTCTACAATCTACAACCAAGTTATTTTAATCAAATACCAAAAGAAAAATAAGGAGACTGAATGAATAAATAATGAAAGATTATCTTCATTCATTACTTGAACTTCAATTTTGTATTCTTAGTCTAAGCTTCAAGAGAGACTTCAAACTACAAATAAAAAATATTTACGGTGAAACGTGGGTGAAACTGGGCGAAACCATGGAAAACTTTTGAAAAACCGTTGAAAATCCGTTAAAGTCGGTTAAAATTTAAATATAGAATTTAGAGAATCTATTTGAAGTTAGGTTCGTATCACTTGGCTAGCTGGTGGCTAGTAGTAGCACAGAACAGATACAAATTGTACAGATACAAGATTTGTATCTGTTCTGTGGTAGTAGTTTATAGCATTAGTACTTTGTTTTACGGCCTGACCTGTCAGGGCCATTCGGCCGTTGTTTTGATTATTATCAGGGTTCGCCTGATGCCTGATTTAATTTTGACATTTGATGTTTGATGTCATATATTTTCGTTTTGGGAGCGGGAGCGGGATCTCCCGTTATCGTCAAAATATCGGGAAGATTCGTGCCGTTCGCTTCTTCGAAATTTACGATTCAAACAGCTAATATTTAATTGTTACTTGTTTTAAACAAGTACGATTTTTTTAAAAATAACCGGCTATAGGTTATTGAACGTAATGCAAGGTTATTAGGTTAACTGGCAAAAAAAAACTATCTTTAAATAACCGGTTATTTTAGAGGAAAATACCGGTTATTCAAAAAACCTGTTACTTTTGCCCATCTCTAGTCAACGGTCAACGATGTCACACACACACTCTCTCAGCACACTCTCAACAACTACTACGAATAAGTTTACTCAGCCTTCTTTAAACTGTGTATTTGATTAAAGTATTTTAATAAAGTGTGTACTAATAAGTTTACATCATATTAATTGATAACTCAAACCGTTAGTACCACACGTTCAAACCAAAAGTGAAGTTAAATCACAGAGAGTTGACAGAAGCGATATTGACAGCCCGCGCCTCCACAGAGCGATAACAGGGTTGTGTCAAACGAAAACAGGGTTGTGGACTAGAGAACGTAAAAATTCGTCGAATAAATCTTCAGGCCCGAACGATACGGAATTGGGTGACGATATGCCAGACAGGATACATTAAAATACGCAACCAACCGTCCAATCAGATGAAAGAGGTACGTACCCTATCGTTGGGTATTGTGCAATCACGTGATGCTCATGTCGTATGACGGTTAAATCATTGGTTAGAATTTTTGTTGTTGTTTTTACCGAAGAGATTTTACCTGTTTTTACTTTATTTTTCTATTTACATCAGATTTATATTTTGTAATTGCCTATCAGACAATACGTATTTAGAAAAATAATAAGAATTAGGATCGTGTTTTTTTTAAATCCTGGATATTAATTGGAACCCTTGGTAACATTACTGCTCTTGATATAAAAAGTGCATTTTTGATTATTTACTTGGGTTAGGATATTAAAATATCGGTTGGATTGTACGACATAAATAGATGTAGGTATGATTATTTATATATATGTATGTATTTATAAAGCTTACTATCTGTTTTGCATTTTCAGTTTTTGATCAGACATTTGATTTTATTTTTTTTTCAGTTTCAAATATATCGGGCCCTAATCGTTCCTGAAAATAGTATTTTTTTACATTGTTATACCATATTCTAAACTATTTAATATTTCAGTCACTTAAAAAGTTAATTTGTATTGAATAATTGCCTACCATTAAAGCAAATTTGGACTAGTATTCTTAATGGGCATATTCTGTGTATGGATATAGGTACTTCCTCCAGATTTTGGGTTCAACCAATTTATTCTTAAAACCTGAAACATCTACATATAAAAAATAGACAGGTTACTAATTATAATAAAATTTACCCTTAGAATTATACTTCTTTAACAAATAATTTCCATTGGTATACTTTTCCATGACAAGTAATCAACTTCCTAACATTTTTTAATTGATGTAATACTTCCTCACGATGCGAAAAGAAAATCTTTTCTTTAGCACACAAAGGACAAAGATATGTTGGCTTACTTTCAGATTAGTTACTTTTCCATAGATATCCTCATGTCAATTCAAAGACGATGAACATGAAAATGATCATCACATGAAACATCACAAACTAAAAACCTAATAAACAAGTTTATATCGAATATAGAAATAAATTTAGTGTTCTTACCTATTGTCGTCCAAATCCACGTTAATAGATAATTAATTTTTGGATTTTTATCTTTTATTTTTAAATATATCTTTCGAACTACTGGTTTTAGTAATTATTAAATTAAACGAACTAAAAAGTCAAAAATAATAAACAATTAATTCTCTTGTCAATTGTCAATTTTCTCCAGGTACCGAACATCATCGATAACGCACGATCTACAACGATTACTCCTTTGATCTGATTGGACGGTTCAATGACGGTTGGTTGCGTATTTTAATGTATTCTATGCCAGACATCATATATTATATATAAAAAAGACATATAACGAACTAAAAACGTTACAGTATATGTATGTATAATAATAGAGTATATGTGCAGTGCGTTTTTTTTTGCCGGTCATAAGATTTTACGTGCCAAATTTTCATTCCCATCTTAGAGCTTCTTCTATTGCAGTGATAGGGCTGAAATTTATAACAGGTTTAGGAAAACTACCATCTCAGCAAAAATATTTTTTTTTAAATTTTTAAAAATCTTTTTTTTTTGATAGAAAATTTATAGGTAAAGGAGTGGATCCGGTGGCTGACCTTGAAGCCCATATTTGCTGCATTTGATCATCGATATTACGCAAGCGCACATCGTCGATGTTGCCAAATTGCAGTTTATTTTCGAATTATTTGCAGTTAAATTTTTTTTAAGTGTTAATCAATAATAATACAAATTCTATAATTAATTTTATAATTTCAGATTTATCTTGATATCCAAAATTAAGGTAATAAAGATAATGAAGATTGTGAAATAAAAGTATTATGAATATATAAAATTGTAATAATAATAACAATTATTTATATATTTACATTAGAATTAAAAATTATCATTTACGGATTTTTTCTTAATGGTTTTAAACTTATTAGAATTATTTTATGTCTTTCAAGTTATTTAATTTCTAGTTATTTACAGGCAACAATAGTTTTGATTATATGTATTGATGTATTGAAGTACTACCCATGCACTACCTGTACTACCCTGACGAGTCTTATAGAACAATACACGTCAATGGGAGATAGAGGTAACAATTTACCTATAATGTTACTAATATAATATACTTTGATTATAATGTTTGTATCATAATTTCTTAAAAATATCAAGTTAGTGGATTAATAGCAATTTTAGACATACATTTTATCGAAGAGTGTGTTGATAAGACTAAAATAAGCTTTATGTTTTATCTTTTTCTCTTTAGAAGGGAGATGGTTTGTGTCGTAGAATACATTACAGTATTTAATATCGTGTACTTTGATATTCTTTTCTTAATTTATTTCTTGTTTCTTATAATACCAAATCTTGACAATATGGTGAAGGTTGAGTTTTGATCTTATTAGTTTTATACCTGTGTCACAAATTGTGCCTGTGTTTATACAAGACCAAATTAAGACTTAGTTAGTTTGTGATTTATATTAAGATCTTTCTAATAATATTTGTTATGTCTTAATCTTAATACTATATTATGCTTTGTCTGGAAAATAAATGTTAAAATATCTTAATTTTGCATATCCTATTCCACCCTTCCATTAGGAAAAATATGGTTTATAAATCATATATGCTAAGAAAATCACATAAATTAGGTGTAAGAATAGAGAAATCTTAAGGTAGCAGAAAAATTAATGCAATATATGTATAAGCAGAATTAAACAAGGTAACTGTAAATGTTGCTGAAGCTGATTCTACAATTTTAATTACGGAGGCTAAAAGGCCTTTTAAGGCCTCCGTAGTTTTGATAGAATGTTAAAAAAAACTATTATGAACATGACATGGAGCTACAGCATTTAAAAATTAAAAAAAAAACTTGGACACATCCCTTTTAATTTCCCGAATTTTTAATAGAGAACAACGGCATACGGTCGAGTCGGCCTAAAAACACGTAAACGTTTACGTACGCATGCGCATTTCTGATATTTCTTATTTTTTATACACGTAAAAGATTCTTTACGTCTACGTATACGTGTCAGCAGCGGCCGACTCGACCGTATGCCGTTGTTCTCTAATAAAGCCCTTTTTAAACGTAGCATAATAATCTAGAGCAATTAAATTAATTATAGGAATCTAGAGTTTTATTTCTATTTAATTTTATTGACTATGAAAATACATAATAAGCGTTCAAGTGTTGTGCGAAATATTAAAA